GCACGCACGCACGAACAAACGAACGAACGAACGGATGGACGAACGAACGATATATGTGTGTATAGATACCCTGTATACATACAGCGCCTGCAAATGATTAAAAAGAAAATAAACAGCAAACAAACAAAAACAATCAGACGGACGTACGGACAGCCATACCAACAAACAGATCAAATTAAAAGTACGGACAGACCAAAAGAAAGACAAAAAAAAAAAAAACCCAGCATAGCTCATCTATCAGAGCGCATACTGAACACCTCAAAGTTCTCTGCCTCTAACGGTGCTTCCCATATGTTTACCTCTTCTTTTATTTCCTGTTAGTTAACACACTATTCTACTAATGTATTGCTTTTATTCATTTTTTCAAAGAAAACCTGAAATTAAGCACTAGTCCCATTAACGTGGGATCCAAAGRCAGTGCGTTTGGAAAGTTTTACGCTCCTCGATCAGGACAAATCAAGATGTTCAAGCTCGTTCATGTGTCAGGTGSACTGACATGCTGGAAGGACATCTATTCGCTGACTACATTTGGCTGCCGTGTGAGTTCTAATGCGTTATGCATGATGATTACAGATAGCAGCAACAATGTGGTTTCCCCTCCGCAATCATATTATTCAGGGCATGTTTCGAAATGCTATACCATTCCAGGCATGTCAAACAACGGTAAGKAATTGATCCTTCCCGAAATTACTCCGGCACTAAACGTAGTCGCAGGCCAAGAGCTAAGAGTGTGGTATTCTGAAGATTTGTTTGATATTTGGRATGGGGACAATGATGGTGTGTTATACACGCATGTATATGCTAACTATGTAGAAAACTAACTAGAAAACTTTAAGCCACTGTTTATTGAACTCAGCCTACTCAAAGGTAAACCAAGCGGAAATTATTCATAAAATACGCTAGTAATTTTTCGATCGTTGAGGGGCATGAAAGGAGTTTGCGGAGGATTTTTATTTCGGCAATTGTATTATGATCTTCAATCCMTATTTTTACGATTCCTTATTCATTTAAACGATTCCGATTGCTAGTTATCATAAATTATGACTGATATGATGTAAAAAAATGACTGCCTGATTGATACACACTTTGCATAGTTGTACTAATGTTAAAACTGAAGAAACATCTATTAATCCGGATAAATTTTAAAAACGCCTTTTTCGCCCCCAAAAAGCAAGTTTCCGTCCACGTTAAGACATTAAGAGATGCTAACTACACTGTTAGGCATGCGCAGATTCCTTGCGTTTCCAAAAAGTTTGGTTTTTGTCTAGCATATTGTTCTTACCGTCCGAAAACGCCGTTTTAGTGTAGACGTAAACAGACCGAAACAGATAAAAGCTASATGCGTTATTAAATTTATTTGAATTAGTGTGCACGGCACGAGACTCGTGCTTTTTTTCCATTTCTGTAATCATTGCATAATTGGCATTATTGGTTGCTTGTTATCTGGTCAATTATCCTTGTTTTGTCACATAATAATATTACCATTATTATAACYTATTATAAGTATTATTATTACTAGGGTATTCATTGATTATCTCTATAGTAAATTATAAGGAATGCTCGTAGCATTTTTTTTAGCGAGCAGGGGTTTAAGCAGCATCTACCCACAGACTAACCACTCTAATAAATGAAGGAAATACTAAATGGTGTCTTGTCTTTTTATGCGCGCGCTATCGATTTTTTTGTCATCTCCCCTACCCCCCTTGGTAACAATTTTGTTTTTCTACTATACAATATACTAACAAGGTAGGCAACTTCACGGGCTTCCTGTGGAAAATTCAAACTTTGACGAGAGAAAGCCGCGAATTTATCCAGATAGTTTGACTCCGAAAACAAAAAGAGTATACAGAACGTCGTACTTACATCTAATCTTCAATAATTTAAAGGATTTTTGATAATAAATTCTCTATAAGGAGGGTTTTTTTTGGGCTTTTTTTAGCGAAAACTTATGTGCCGTCAGTTATGCTTGCATCCGAGCGGGCCTGAACACGAGAAAAGGGATCCAAAACAAGTCCTCTCCCTCCCTCTCCAAGTGTTTTTGGTTCGTTACCACATACTTTCCAACCCCACATCCCGTGAGTCTTGCATTTTACTTCCGTTTTTTTTTTTTTACAATCAAGAAGCGGTCGCCTATTTATTRGCTTCGCGAAACCGGATTTAACTTCGCGAAACCGATTTATATAGCGCCCTTTCTATATGGATATTGATTTGTTTAATTTAGCACGTAGCCTCGTGGCAGTTGGGACTTTACAGAGTACAACTTGAGATTTAATTGTACTCCTCTTAGATGTTTTGGTTAGGTACATATATACACAAATAATTGAAAACTTTTTGTGAATAAAGTAATAAAATCTTGACGTATTTTTTATTGTTAATAACGAAAATATAACACAGCAGAGGTTTATCAGTTGTTTTCCTGCCATTTGCAGGTCGGAAATGCCTTGGAATGAATATAACGTAAAATGAAACTTAGTTTGCATGGGGGCTAACAGCCATTTCCCCCGAGCAGCAATGATCACTACGATAATGAAAAAGTAGTCCGCGTCATTGTATCTTAGTGTGGGATAAGACTACTGTGTGTATACGTCCAGTGTGAGATCAGCTTYTGTAAACACACTGGTTCTATTTTTGAACATTAACTCGTCTTAATCAACRACTTATACACATAAAGCTTTTAAAAACATTCTTGCGCACCTATGAATTGTACACCGTTCTGCCGCGGCTTTGTCCGTCACCTTCATCCAAAACATGAGCAAACTGCTCCAGAACATTCTTGAAATGTGACCCTTCCCAGAAGACTTTCCCACAAGAGGCACAGACGTAAAACAAGTCAATTTTTCTGCTCCATATTTCTTCATGAAGAAGACCCAACTTAAGCTGTATTCCTGAAGCTTTTAGCGTGAGAGTTTCAAAGTCTATTGGACAGTCTAATGAATGGTGTAAATATTYCAATGCATCGTAATTCCCGTTGACCATGATCAAATAAGCAGCTTTTATATGCTCTGGTAGAACTTTGATGTACTGATTGCCGTTACAAATCTACAAACACAAACAGACCATTAGTGTAATGTAGGTATCAGAAGAATATCTCTAATATCTACAATATCTCTACTATCTCTAGTATTTCAAATATCTCAAATATCTACGATATCTCTAATATCTGCAATATCTCTAATATCTACAATATCTATAATAGCTACCATATCACTTACACACACATATTCCCAGGTAATATAGGTATCAATGTTTTCAATCCAATTATCACCGCCATTTGCTATTTTATATTAWTTATATTATATTTGATTTATTCTTTACATAACAGTTTTTTAAAAAGCCTATAGCCGATTTGCAAGAGGGCTTTAAAAATGTTCATTATTACTATTTATTATTTATTAGAGCTGAAACCAAATCAACTTTACTTGGACTCACCTGACAGCGGCTAAATATATCTTCAGGTGTTACTCTGACGTTGTAGTACCGTAATACTTCTGCTACTTGTTCCTTAGCTGTTCCGGCAGGTACACACATACACATCCCTTCAGGAACTTGAGATCTCATCTACAACATCACAAAACCATTTTGATTTCTTTTAGTGAGGTTGCTAAATGCGGCAAAGATCGTTACAATCAGCAAGAAAGCACCAAAATTGGTACAGAGTTCCCTTATACCACTTGAAACAAGTTCAGAAAATATGTCAGTGATTTCCATATAGGGGGGGGGGGGGGGGGTAAATTTATCTTGGATTGGGAGGGGTGGGTCATACGTACATATGTCTTCCATATAATTCTTTGTTACTACCATTTAGAAATACGACTGGAAATACCTCCCTGACAGCCGAGTTCAGCACCCCTTCTAAATATAGTCTACAGGGCTTAAGTTGACTCAAATTTCATGCTTTCTTCCAGTCTCTAACGATATTGCCAAAAATTTACCTCGAGCYACCTCACTATTTGAATATTAGTGAAATATAATGGTGTTACTACCCTGCATACATGTCTATTTTTTTTTCAGGTTCTCCAATGAAATCTTTGAGTTACCCGTGCCCTGACTTAGATCAGGGCACGGCTTTAGAATTCGATAAGTTTGCAGTCCTTTTAAACCAAAATCAATGGGATACTTACAGTGTAGTAAGGTGTACCACTTGTGAGCAGTATTCTATTTTCATCTCTGGCTATCTGATGAGTAAAAGAAAGAACAGCAAAGTAACTTAAATTGTGTATATTGCAATATTAATCAACTTTATTTTCATACACACCAACAGTTGTGTAATAGTATTGTAAGCTTTAATAAACAGGCGAAAATTGGCACAACATTGTGGACAAACAACATGTATTTATAAGCAGCCATTAGGTTCGTACCAATGAAGATTCGCCCCATGGTTAGGCTTAAGGGCTTTAGGTACTTTAGTTCTTAACATTATGATAGAGGGAACATTTCCTCAATGATAAAAATGACGATGAATATATAAATAAATGTTGCCATTTAGAAACGTCAGGCGAGCTTACATGAGCGTTTTCCCCATCTTCATGGTGCAATATTTTGTGTAATATKTCGTTTCTGCTGTGAGATCTGTGTTAAACCTCTAAACCTTTGTTTTTCGATGGAGGTAAGCAAAAATAAGAGTTGTGTTCACCTTAGCAGCCTCATCATGAGTTGTTCCAGTACTAAGGATCTTRACATCTACGCCACAGCACCTAAGTTGTCGTCCCAGACCTTGTAGCATAGTGTCGACTACGACCGAAAGACTTCGTACTGATATTGGCTCYCCTCCTCGTACTGGGCCAGACATCGGCTGCAAGGAAAAGATATAATGACAACTTAAAGAAATGGGCCTTTTTCATGCAGTAGCCATGTTGGTTTAAACAATACAATACACGCGGCCTTGCATTCACGGGAATAAATTTATGCGGGTTAAACAAAGGTTTTATCCTCATGAGAATAAACATGGTAACCCGTGATAAAGGTCCATTAGCGCTAGCCATTTCAAAACCTTTTGCGCGTGTAAACATCATTCTATAATATTAGCACTATTTTAAAACTTGTTACCCAGAACACCCTTCGGTCTTAGCTTCGATTATAGTACCTCACTTCACTTTTTATTTGTAATAAGTATCTTTGAAGCGAATATCAAATGTTGCATTATTACCTCTCCTAAAGMTCCTGGTTTGCGATGTTTTGGACGGGCTGAGTTTCTAAACAAAACAAAACAAAAATACTTAGGCCTTACGTGTTTACAGTGCKTCCTAACCACACGTACAAAATCGTACGGTTTGCCGTCGCAACGAACTGCAGGTTTTGCTAGCGGTAGTCAATCAAGTTGTTTCCATGACATTGTTGCGAAACACAAAGCTCTCAGGGACRCGTGCTTATGAAATGTCATGGAAACGTCTTGATTGAACTTTCAAGGACTCGTTGCGTTCAATCTCTTTTCCAAATTAAAATTGTAATTTCAAGTTTTATTAAAATTGACATGGGTATTTTTTCCCAAATGTTGATTTCTAAACTCTTGGAATCTTTTGCTTTTTAACACGCATTGTCATACCAAGCACGCAGATAAAAATATCGAACCCACTTTTCTTATGGGACTTTTTAGCATCGTTGCAATGTTTTCCGATTTGAGATCACGTGTCAATTTTTAAAATAAGATCACATTCTTTGTTTGAATTGTTTCCATATTCACTCTAAGGAAAGACACGTGGTTTGTAATGAGAAAACGTTGCGCCCAAGAAGGGTATATGGAYCCTTAAGCATGGATGTGGTGAGGCTAACACGAAAACACATACAAAAACCTCAGACTTCATCTTGATGGAATTTGTGGCACTTGTTCTGTATATCCAAGTTAGCCGCGCATTGAAGGTAATTTGAGTGCTGCATAAACGACTCTGATTTGCAATTTATC